CCTATGGCAAAAAAATCAAAGAGCAAGATGTGACTTCCGTACAATAAAAGCTGACACCCCACACCCCAATATATTGTCCATGCTGTGGGGGAGAAATTGACTTTTATATGCTTGGATGCATATATCTCCTCCAGTGGAAACCCCACTAAAGAAAGAGGTTGTGTATGACATTGAGAAAGCATCTCTGGCAAACTCCTTTTCTCCCACCTCTCAGTATAGGTAGACGTAATGGGCTGACCACATACTACAGATAGATGATCCAGTTCAGATAAAACAAGAACCAACCCAGATCAGACCTTTCTTTAATTAATCATATGTGCGACATAGTGGAGTCCAAGCTTTGCTCAGAGCAAAATGTAACCCAAATCTCTCCTGTACACACTGCAGAGGACATCTACTCCTGCTAGTGCTAGTAAGAGTTGCAGAATCTTCAAAAGACATTACAAAGCCATACATGTAATGGCTTTTGTGATGGGTTCGGTCACGGAGACCCCCTTGGGACTGTCACCTGATATGCGGAGACTACCTCTGAGCCCGTTTTCCCTGCCAGCTTGGGGCCTCAGAACCCTGTCTTGTTGAGCCAGACATGCAAACCTGCTGCAACACAGACCCAGGGTCTGAACCACGCCCCCAAAGCTGCAGACTTAACTGAAAACCACTCAGCAAGTACTTCTGTCTCCAGCACACAGACAGGCAGCTCCCAATGGGATCCAAACCCCCAATAAATCCATTTTACTCTGTATAAAGCTTATACAGGGTAAACTCCTAAAATTGTCCGCCCTCTATAACACTGATAGAGAGATATGCACAGCTGTTTGCTCCCCCAGGTATTAATCACTTAATCTGGGTTAATTAATAAACAAAAGTGATTTTATTAAGTATAGAAAGTAGGATTTAAGTGGTTCCAAGTAACAACAGACAGAACAAAGTAAGTTACTAAGTAAAATAAATCAAAATACGCAAGGCTAGCTTAATATACTAAGGATCTAGTCACAAATACTAACTTCTCACCCTACATGTTATCTCAGGTACAATCCTTTTCAGACCAACGTTGTAGTTGTGGCCTGGGTCTAGCAATCATTCCCCCTCACCCCCGTAGTTACAGTCCTTTGTTCCAGTTTCTATCAGTCATCTCTTTGGGGTGGAGACAAGGCCGGCTCCAGCTTTTTTGCCGCCCCAAGCGGCGAAGGGGGAAAAAAAAAAGCAAATCGGTGGCACTTTGGCGGCAGCTCAATTGTGCCGCTTCATTCTTCAGTGGCAATTCAGCGGCGGGTCCTTCACTCCCTCTCTTCCTCTTCGGCGGCAGCTCAAAGAGGAAGAGAGGGACTGAGGGACTTGCCGCCGAAGACACGGACATGCCGCCCCTTTCTATTGGCCGCCCCAAGCACCTGGTTCCTTCGCTGGTGCTTGGAGCCGGCCCTGGGTGGAGAGGACATCTCTTGAGCCAGCTGAAGACCAAAATGGAGAGGCTTCCAGGACCTTTTATATTCTCTCTCTTGTGGGCGGAAACCCCTTTGTTCTTCTGTGCAAAATCATAGCACCAAGATGGAGTTTGTAGCCACATGGGCAAGTCATATGTCCATGAATGATTTAGTTTTTTGCAGGCCAACGCCATTGTTTACATGTTAGTTTGAACGTTCCTAGGAAAGCTCAGATGTGGATTGGCGTCTCCCGAAATCCATTGTTAGTTAAATACTTCCAATTACTTGAATAGTCCCTTCACAATATGCTAGTCAAACCTCCCTTATGTGTTTCCTACAACAAACACTTCAAATACAAACATAGAGCCAACACTCATAACTTCAGATATAAAAATGATACATGCATACGAATAGGATGAATATATTCAGTAGATCATAACCTTTGCAAAGATAGGTTACATGGCATATCTAGCATAAAGCATATTCCAGTTATGTCATATTTACACTCATAAGCATATTTCCATAAACATATAGAGTGCAACGTCACAGCTTTGTTATACTCTTTTTTCAGCAAGAGTCCAAAAGGACTGAATGTCTTGGAAACAAACAGAAGATACACTGGGACTGAAGTTCAAATTAGTCCAACCTGGGAAAACCTGCTGGCTTTCTCATGAGCGATCCTTGACTGTTGTCTTAAAATTACTGCAACCGTTATTACTGGCTTTGGAAAGTATCTACCAAGATAGGACCAATCTAAGTAGTAAAGCTAGGCTGGTGGACTACTTTTGTTACTAAGTTCAGAGAAGACTATCGCCATTCTCTCTCTTGTAAGTCTACTGTTGAAACCATGTGGGTCATAAACAATGTCATCCAGGTATCTGCTACAACAATAGTAGATCTTTGTCCAGCAATAGAAGCTACCCTTGGATCAATCAGCGATATCCATTGAAATCGTACTGGAAGAAGCAAAGACTTCAGTCCAGAAGCTGACTAATGAAGGTACTTATATATTGATTCCTTAAGCGAAGAGGACAAGAAGTGTTTGTTAAGCCAGCTGAAACAATACACAGACTTGATTCTTACAAATATACAATAGCGATTTCTGGATTCTACTCAACCTCCACGTAGCTTTTACAGATGCCTGTCTTATAAAACACCTATAGTTGAGTGGAGTGAGGCACTACCAGCAATGGGGCTGCTATGTGATCAGGACAGAATAGAGAATTTTGAACACAGAGTGGCATATCATATGATGAACGAATGAAGATTTAACTTCAACTATTTCTTCTTTCTCATCACTAGTAGTTCGACCCGATCTTTGTGCTATGTTTCCTGGGATGAAAGAAGTAGGAATTCATCTCTTGCTACTCCCAGTCACAACAGCTACAGTTGAGTGTTCTTTTTCCTCATTGAATAGAATTTTGTATTCTGAAATAAGTTGCCTTCTGCCTGATCATGAGCATATCATGAAGGACTGGAAGTAACAGACACACAAGACACCAAAGAGTTGTGCAAAATTACAACAAAAACCCAAGAAGGGTGTAGATGTAGTGCTTCATAGTAGGCTTGAGTAGCCAACTTTAATTTCTGTGATGATTTTAAAACATTAGTTAAATCTAATAAAATGATCATGAAACATTTTTCAGTTTTTACTATGGTGCCACACAGCCTACCTTCGTCCTCACGGTCTCGACCCTCATTGGCCCTCGCCCCCCCCGTAAATGCAATCCCTGCCCCTAATTTCAATTCCTGGGGGAAACATTGGTGCAGCCCCATTCCTGGGAAGAGGGCGCCTCAGATCAGGGCACTTCCACTCTGACTGTTTTTCACAGGCAGGCGCTGGAGGATATTAATGAGGGGTGTAATGAATACTGATCCCTGCCTGCGAGCCGTGTGAGAGTGTTCTAATGAAGACTGATACCTGACTGTCTTGTGCTATGAAGTCCAGGGACATTAAATGTTAACCCATTCTGAGATGCGGGCAGTGGTGCCTTTTCTACCACATTGATCTGGGAGGTATAAGGAAGATGGGACCTCAGCTGCCTGTCACCATCACTTCTGAACTGTATGTCTTGCAGGTGACTAAGTATAATAGAGACACCTCATAGTCAGTGAGGGTATCTTCCTGCTTCCCAGCAGGGAAAAATGCAGACAGTGTCCCTTTAAGGGAAGATACCAATAACCCTGCATCCTCTCGAGAAGAGGGGGGATCTTACCAAATGATCGCATCCTTCAATGTGCTTGCAGACCCCTAAAAGGCATGTCCCCATCACACAGTGACAAGGGATAACAAAAGGTGCAATCCTCCTCCCTGCGTGGCAAACAATAAGCTGCAGTCTAACAAGGGCTGCTTTTTCTTTTTAAAAAGGCAAAATAATAGGATTTGTTTTTTAAAATGGCAAAGATCTAATTGCAGAAGAGAAAAATGAGAAATACATAAAAATTCAGCAGGAAAATCAGCATCTATGAGTGACAGACACGGTAGGTGTTTGCACAGGGGACGGCAGCAAGCAGGGGGCAGCAGCATCCCCTTGGTGAAGTGGGCTGGGGAGGGCTTGGGATAGAGGGCACACCCTATGCAATTCAAACCATTATTACTTAACCGGAGCAGAGGTGCAGGTTGGATTTGCAACGGGGTGTTGATAATATATAGAGAGGGAGACGGCGTGGTTTCTTCGACCTCCTCCCCCAATCTCTATGTCAGCTGCGCGAAGTGGTGTATATTACACCCCTCCCCCCATATGATCTGCATCCATGGCGCATCATCCCCTCTCCCTCCTTCCTTGCATCCTAACGTGAGCTGCACGAACGCCATATCCACCCCTCACAAACCAACTCTCCCCCCGCAGTCAGCTGCCTTAAGTGGTGCATCCTCGTCTCCCCTATTCCCTATGCTGCTCTGGGAGCTGCACCAGTAGTGCATCCCGACCCCCCATGCATGGCACCGGGGGAACGAGGAGGTCTATTGAGCGGCATGCGGCAAACAGAGGCGCGAGCTCCTAGGGAAAGCCCCGCCCAGCGCGCATCCGGCCCAGCCAATGAGAAGCGGCGGCGCGCGCCACAAAGAAGGAGAAGGGGCTCGCCCGCCGCTTCAGCCAATGGGGAAGCGGCAAGGGCAGGGCGCGTGCGGGAGTCGAGTCCGGGCTGCGGCGGGGGCGCGCGGAGGGGGGTGTGTCGGCGCCAAAGTGGGGGGGAAGGGAACCCTATAATGGCGGCCGGGCGGCGGGAGCGCGGCGGCGCTGAGGTAACCTCCAGTGGCCGGCCGGGGAGGGCGGCTGTCCGGTGCGCCGCAACAAAGGGCAGGCGGGAGCCGAGCGGGCCCGAGGCCTGCAGCAGGGGCTGAGGGGAGGAGCTCCTGACAGACAGCCCGAGCAACGCGGCCTCCCGTGCCGGGGGGAGAGGGCAAGCCCGAGTCCCCCGCTGTCAAGATGGGGGAGGGGACTGTAGGGGGCGGGGGCTGAGGGAAGGTGGGAGGGGGATGGAAAGGATGGGGGAAGGGCTAAGGGGAGCGGGGGGGCTGAGGCTCAGGAGGGGCTCTGGGAATCTGGGGTGAGGCCTCACCTGCCCTGTAGGGGAACGATGGGGGTGGGGTCTAATTTCCTGCCGCTTCCCCCCCCTCAGGAATCTTAGGCCAGCTCTGGTTTTGCTGGAGGTCTCCAGGGAGCACCAGAGCACTGGGGGGGGGGGAGCATAGAGAGTTTCCCACCCTGTAGTTTTTCCAGTACTTGAGTTAAATGTTGAGGAAACACATGGGCTCGAAACACCTGAGTAAAAATCATTTCACCTGTCAATCAATCAGCATGCCCTTCCCTTACTTGTCTGATGCGCTCTAGTCATCTGAGTAGAGAATATGTGAAATGGGATATTACAAAACATGGGTGGGGGGTGTGTGTGTGCGTGTGACCTTTTTACCAAAAAAAGCCAAACAATTAATTTCCAGGCCCTACTCCTATATCCTAAAGGAACTCCCACCCCCAAAAAAAGAACATACACAATTGGGTGTTTCCTTTGTGGGTCAACTTTAACCATGCGTTCCTGATAGCCTCATCTATGATGGTTAACTGGGTTAGCACTTATTTAGCATGTGTCTTCTGGGGTGTGAGGTTTGGTTAGATTAGATTATTACATAGGCCCTGATGATATTTGGGAATGTTCTGATGCCGTATGAGAGAAGGGGCTTGTTGAATCTGGAAATGGCCTTTTATTTTTATTTTATTTTTTGGAGGGCATTGGGAAAGACAGGTGACAGTCTTTATATTTATTTAGCAATGGGAGTACTTCTAGTACAGTGTAGAGTAAACTGATGTTTAAAAGGTAAATTGTGCTCCATGCTCTGTTTGAGCCTGAGATGACCATGTCTGGGAAATATGTGGCTTTCCTTCACAATTACATTCATTTTGCTGGGTTTTTTAATATCAGAACTTGATACCATTTTGTGTGTGTGTACCTTCCTTTGTGTGTTTTCTAGTTACTAATAGGCTGCACTATTCTCCATATGCTTATATCATGATGATATAGGAGCAGGCTAAATAAATATTACTATCTGAATCTCACATTGTAGTGGCATTTCTGTGGGGAATTTATAGATTTACATTTAAATAATTCAAGATTGTAAACTCACATAACAAAGATGTTGCTGCCAAGTCTCCATATATCTGCACTGATGTTGTCATGACACTGATGATATTTGTAATTTATTTTGTGCTGCAAACCTTGTAGATACTTGAAAGTTGCCTGATGATAGAAGGTTGCTTCAGTGAAGTAGTCCTTTGTGCATGGTTTACTGTAGTAAATATACTGACCTGTGTCACTAACTTTTAAAAAGTATTTTAATTCTAATAATCTAACTTGCTATTTTACCATTAGTCCATTTATTTTCTTTTTGCAAATCACTCTGCTTGGCCAAACTTTATTTTCTGTCTGTAATTAGTGTCCCTTTCTGGTTGGCTTGCATTAGTGCAATGCTGTTGTATTTTTTGGGTTTGTAATCTTGCAAGGAAGATCTTGGGTATATTCCCATGATTTTTTTAAAAATATGAACATACAAGTTTTAGTCCAGCCTCCTTCTTTTCTTAACAAAACTAGAATTTGAGTGTAAACAGTGTAGAATGTCTTTTTAAATATCTTGACCTATTTAAACTGCCCATTCATAATAAGCTGTTTGTTCAGATTGTATTTAAAATTAAAATAAAAATACATCTCAAAGTACTCCTTTTGCCTCGGTACCAGGAAATCATTTAATAGTTAAACTACAACAGAAAATTTTTACCCATGCTGTATGTGACTTTCTACTTAGGGGATTTTATACATTGTGCCAAACTGTATTAAGTATGGGCTTCACGAAGGCCCTTAACTGGAAAAATGCTATAATATATAGGGAAAGAAAGCACAGTACTACACTGATATTGTACACAGGGTTAGTGTAAAAGATGTTGAGATTAAGCAGTCGAGAGAGTTATGTGACCGTTCTATCCTGACCTAATACAAGTGAAAGACAGAGATGATGTTGTTGTGCCTGAACTGTGAATGTTTTACGATAAAGGCCAGCTAAAATGATAACACTAGTATATAGTGTATATTTTTTGAAAATCCTTCTTAGTCGTGATTTTCCTAAACAAGCTTGAGGCTTCTTCATATTGGTAACTTCTGAATGTAATGGCTCATTGCAATCTGATTTATATTTGATGAATGAAAATACTGATGATTTTAAGCACAGTGATTAGCCCAAACGATACTGATACAAAGAGAGGAAATGCAGATCAGTCGTCATTCATAGGATTATTAGTCCCATGTTATTGTTTTTCCCCCTAGAATCCCTGACCTTGAAGATGGTGAGTAGCCAGCCAAAGTACGATCTAATACGGGAGGTTGGTCGTGGTAGTTACGGTGTGGTGTATGAAGCAGTCGTCAGGAAGACCTCTGCGCGGGTTGCAGTGAAAAAAATTCGGTGTCATGCTCCAGAGAATGTGGAACTAGCTCTACGTGAGTTCTGGGCACTGAGCAGTATCAAGAGCCAGCATCCAAATGTTATCCATCTGGAGGAGTGCATCTTACAGAAAGATGGTATGGTGCAGAAGATGTCACATGGTTCCAGTTCTTCCCTTTATGTACAGGTACATGAAGCTGGGAGGGGGATGGGAGTAATTTATGGGTATCTAGCTGGGCAGGAAGAAGTGGGGAAGGTATGGCCTAACTTTTTTTTCTTTATATGCAATGTAAACAATGCTAAGAGTTCTCTAGAGATGTTTGAATACAATGGGTTTACTAAACAGAATCCTCTGGATTTTCAGATTTATAGCCATGCAACTCCAGCAGACTTAATGAAAGTCACACAGCTGAAATCCCATATAGCTCTGACAATTTAAGGGAATGAAAACAAAACACTATCCAGATACACACTGTTGCATTTTCTGGGTAACAGCCCTACAGTAGCTCTAATCATGAATGGACATTTGCTAGTTTGTTAAGACAGAACTCACAAAGATTTCTAAACACCAGCTGTCCTTTGAAGAGGAAGTAACCATCTTTGCTTAGGAAACCATTGCTTAGGATTCTGCCTGTAACCAGGAAGTCCATTACCAGAGTGCAAGAGAGATTTATTTATTTATTTATTTTAAAAAGGGGGCAAATAAACCTTAAAAGCATTTGGAAGGGTAGCAAAGGTGATGAGGCCATGATAGGAATATATCTGTGAAAGTACATTCACATTTGTATATAAAAGCACTCTTCAGTGTGTGAGTAGCACATCCAGTGAATACTTATCAAATGTTTACTTTATTTATATATGTCATGTGTTATCACATTAAATATAAATTGTGTGAGCTGATCAGATATGTAATAATCAGACACTTGTTCCTGTTGGTTTTTGCGTCCAGTGCAGGTCCTTTTTATTAAATATTTATTATGGTAGCGTTCAATCGGGATTTAGGCCCCATTGTGCTGTACAAATGTAGGAAGGTGCCTCACAACTTAGCAGTCTTTTCATTGGGGGAGTGGTTTGAGCATTGGCCTGCTAAACCTAAGATTGTGAGTTCAATCCTTGAGGGGGCCATTTAGGGAACTGGGGTAAAAATCTGTCCGGGGATTGGTCCTGCTTTGAGCAGGGGGTTGGACTAGATGACCTCCTTTGGTCCCTTCCAACCCTAATATTCTATGATTCAGTGGACAATATTAGACATGACTGCTGAGGAAAATTGTGAAAGTGCCTAGCTCACGGTTAAAGGGACCAGTGTTATTGACATTAAACTAAGTGAGCTAAAGAAACTTTCTATTTTGGATTGATGGAATAAGGATGATCTACAGGGTACTGCTAAAAGAACACGAGTACTTGTGGCACCTTAGAGACTAACAAATTTATTAGAGCATAAGCTTTCGTGGACTACAGCCCACTTCTTCGGATGCATACAGAGCTCTGTATGCATCCAGCCCACTTCTTCGGATGCATAC